TACACAAATCAATGACGTGCAACGGTTTCTATAGCGAAAGACGTTATACTGCCTAGTAGACATTAAATAACTTCAAATCTTTTGTATACATTTTTTTATACCTTGCATATTTTGCCCGATAATCGACCGTTTCCAGACTTATCAGCGACCCTGCATATGGTTAACATGTTCTATATTAGAACTACAATTTGTTTTTGGGGGTGCAATTTGAAATTTCAAAGAAATATGACATTTGGCAAAGGCGAATCAAAAATTTCCGTTCGCCAGCGCAATTTAGTTTCTCGGAAAAAAACCGGAGGACGGTTACATCTTGAGGAAAACAGGTTGTATACAGTGAGCGGCTAAAATATGGAATAAATTCATTTGAAAATCAGATGATCGGTTTAAAAAGAATGCTCACACACGTACGTAATTTTTTCTTGCGCATTTTAAAGAGAAAATATACAGGGGTGTGTCAAAAAGTAGCTTTTGTTACCAAAGTTGATTTTTTTAAATCCATTTTCGAATTCTGTGTCGAATTTTACGCATAATAAAAGTAATGCGAAAATTGCGATTTTAAGAAATACTGTTCCATTTAAAAAATCAGCTCTGATATCAAAATACACTTTTTCACGGACCCTGTATATTTTCTGTTTACTGCAAAAAATTATTATGAAGTGTGCGAATTTTTTTTTAACCCAACACCTCGCCCAACACCTTATTTTTAAGTGAATTTATTCCATATTTTAGCCGCTCACTGTATAAAACAAGTGTAAACTGTGAAAGCGCATTTTTTTAAACCGAAATAGCTTAGTAAATGGTTGCGTTATAAGCTCGGTTATAAGGTAGTATCGATGTTTCTTTCTTGTTAAATCATTAATGGGGAGACTTCACCAATAAATATGTCTCGTCTTGTTAGATAGATACATATGTCTCGTCCACACAATTCATTTTGCCTTTGTGGGTACTGTTCTCCGACAAAGCGCTTTCGAGGTATGTTTGGTAGAAATTAATTCCTTTCGTTTAGACCTTTCATTAGAGTACCATGAAGGGTAAAACAGCCCCCCCTCCCCCCAAATCCCCTTTTGATAATGAGTCAGAAAGTACGGCGATAGTGATAGAAAACAGTTCCTTTTCTCGAGAACTTTAATTGGAATACCATGAAAGATTAATTTCTACCCACTCCCTCCTCCTCCCGGTCACCTATTGATCTTGGAAAGGAGTCGCGCAGGTTATAGTGTGTACAAACCAATTCATTTAGGCGAGACCTTTCATTAGAATACCATGAAGGTAAAACGTGTGTATGTACCCCCCCCCCTCCTAGTTCCTCCCCCATTTGCAAAAATGTTACTTGGCACCACTAAAGGCATGCGTACGCACATTCTGAGACCAGTTGGTTGTCGCATGTAAAAGTTATGCACGTTTCACATTCAAAAAGAGCATCTCAAGGAATAGTTCGTGGGGGGGGGGGGGGCTACAGACAATGAAATTTGATAGCTGTCTGACACACTTTCAAAGTATAAGCTACATATTGCAAAAAGGACTCTAGGACCATTTTCTTAAAAGTAGTAATTCCTCAGAGTGGAGTGTCGGAGAAAGGTACTTACAAAATGTGATTGGAACTTCTGGACGAAATATATCTATTGGTGATGTTAAAACTTTAGGAGCGAATATCACGAAAACGGTCAGACAAAATTAATCTAGTCTATTAGTCTATAGGAGGCATATCTATTGCAAATGGGCAAATTGAACGTCTGGACAAGACACATCTACGGGTGATGTCAAAAGGAAAAATGCAATATTGCGGAAAATGTCTCTTGGTGCATTATATAGCGTGAATTTTGAATGTGTTCTAGGCGGCCTTTATTTATATAATTATATACAGTATGCGCCAAAACAGACAGTACTGAAATATAGAAGTATATTACTTATTAGCCGGCCTGTGTGGCGCAATTTAGTGACGCTCGACTGCTGTACTAAGGGTCCCTGGTTCTAATCCGAGCTCGGGCATGGATGTTTGTAAATGTATAGTCTTATTTACTGTAACATACAATATATAATACCATGCCAATTCAGTATGTTATATTAGGGCGCATACCCTATTATATTTTTCAAAAATATTTAATTCTGGTTTTAATTTCTACCTTCAGCCATTTTTATTCATTGGTATCAGCTGCCTTGGATACAATACAATAAACAAAACAAAAAAAGAACACAAAAAATTTACGTTAACATATACAGTGTTGCATTTAAAAAATACAAACTTTGATTCAAACCTCAAAACAGGCCTCAGCAACCAGCGTAAAATCGATGGGATTAAAAGTTTCACAAAAAGATTTTAGAATTTTTAAATTTTAAAAATGTTTCTTGAATCTTTTTGTGTTATATTTATCTTTTTAGGTTAGATGTAAAAAATGAGGTTAGTTAAGCCCGGTAGATTGTTTACCTGATCTGAAAACGGCAGATTATTCAACGATCAAATTGTGTAATAGACATTTTTCTGTATCTTTTTCAACTAAGAAAATATAGGGCCATCCTGAAATTACGCCAATTTTAAATTTTCCCCCGTATCTCTTAAGCGAGCGAATATTTTCAAATTTTGATTTTACTAAAAAGAGCGCATGACGCCCTACATTGCCTTTTTTGGTAGCACTAACAATTAGGGAGATACCCTTTGAAAGTGTCGAAAATGTGACACCCTGTACTTTTGCGAAGTCATTTTAAAATTGTGCGGATATAGCGCATTTGAACTACTTTTAGGGGAATACTTGTTTTCTCTGACACTCCATTTTGAGACGATCCAACAGCCCTTTGAAAGTACCCCCTTCCAATTCTTCAGATTTTTACATCCATTAGGTTTCTTCAGATTATGATAATTTTTTAGATCCTTTTTTACTTTTTTTAATTCTTCAGCTTCTTCGGATTATTCCGAAGCGTTGCAATTACTAGATTGCTACTTCTTTGGATTCGTTTAGCGCAATTCTTTTTATTAAAAAAATTAAAGTTATAACACAGCCTTGAATTTTCTCGAGGCAGCGGCACTCCCTACTACCTCTCTATGGGTGCATTTTAGATGAAAAACGAGTTTTTACATTTGGACATTATACATAAAATGTACATAGAATTTTATGTAAAACAAGTTGTAAATCAGCATATGCATGATTAAAGCGCATTTTTGGTAATAGGTCAGTATTTTATTAGCGAAGTTTAAAATTATCGATCTCACGAGTAATTTTGGCTACGTTAAATAATTCATTTTATTTAATTTCAAGTGCGGGTACGTCTTTATTTTGTAAAACAAATCACAAAGTAAATAATTAAGTTTTTAATGTCCATGAACCTAGCAGACCAAGGTCAGCAGAACACAATTAAACATACCTATTGTATAATTAGGTGCTAATTAATTGCCCTATCGCCGAATTAAATGCTCCTTTTTTTTTAAATTATTACATATTATGCCATCTTCATATGAACTCAGCAGAACACTACCGTTAAAACCCAAGAAAATGAAAAGTGAACTAACTATAATTAGGTGCCAATTAAGTGTCCTATTCCCGAGACATGTAATAATTTAAAAAAAAAAGGAGCATTTAATTCGGGAATAGGGCACTTAATTAGCACCTAATTATGCAATATGTTTGATTGTGTTCTGCTGGCCTTGCTCTGCTAGGTTCATGGACATAAGTTTTTATACAGGTAGCGCTATATGACGGTAACATTATAGCATCTCCGAAAACCATTATTTTCTTAAATTATCGATCTCACAAGTAATCTAACTCAAAATAGACTAGAACCTGCACATCTACACTATAGCAGAAAGCTTTTAGTGAAAATTTTGAGTCTCTAGCTATTGTAGTTGCTGAGATCTCACCCGGACAGCCGGTCAGCCAACCAAAACGAATATAATAGCGTATTTTTTTTTCAAAAATGCACTAAAAATGGAATAATTTATAGGGTGTTCCATTTAAAAAATCACCAATTTCCGGTATAACTAAAAGCGTCACACACTCGATAAATATTCCCGAGGTCTCCTTTTCGAGATATAGATAGCCGACATTCGTCGTGGCACACCCTGTAGAAAAAATAATTCTGCTCTTTGAGAAACTTTGGAATTGATGTCCAATAAATACTTACGTCCGATGTTACCTTACGAGGCGAATCCGAGCCATGGAACCGCATGGATAATATTATGTATTTACCCATCAGTGTTTATTTGTGCACTATTTTTATTCGAAAAGCTACCAAAATCGTGTTGCCTCGACGCCCAAGAAACCTTTTCATTTTTAATTATATCGAGGGTTGTCTCAATCACTGTTTATTATTATTTTTGTAGTTTCATCCATTATGGAATATGAGTACGTTTCAAGTTGCAAAGTTCAATTTTGGTATTATGCATGACTAATGCATTTATCAAGCTGCCATTATTTCGTAAATAATTGTATGGAAATTCTTAGATATGTATACTGGAAAGTTTGTGTTTATAGGTACTACGTTCCAAAGGGCGGTAACACTAGGTATAATCTTTCTTGAATATTTTGAGTGGAAGTATAAAAAAACTCATTTAATTTTCTTGACGTAAACGCTATTGGCAAAATTTGAATGTGGGTGCACTATAGTATTCGTGGGCGATTTACGTATCGATTTGTATTTTCCTTTCCGATTAATTTGCTTAAAACCGAGATTGTGCCCGTAAAACGGAGGGTATATCACAAAGCATTGACATATGACCTAGAGCTTATTCATTATAAATTCTAATTAGGAATTAATCATCCGTCCTTGTATGCGATGGGTTTTCGTTAATTTACATCGATTATATTGTTCTGTTACGCAATCGCCGATCTCGATCAATAAGAAAGGCCCAACTTACCTACAGAAGACAAAGAAAAAAAAATTATAGTCGTCACACAGAAACTATTTTTTAAGCGTATTCCGTATACGCATTTTGCGCCATGCGAATCCCGCGTCTCGAGTGCAACTGGTTTGGTAATTAACTAGGAAACGAGCAACAACAGAAAACGTACCTGCCGGCTCTTATTAGCACTTGGAATTCCGTGGCGAATAATACGGTTACCTCATCGAAGACCGGCTCTGTAATTTACGTTACGATCACCACGTGAGACAATTTCGCACTTGTCGGATTTCTAATTTGCACATCTGGTCGTTGTAAAATCTCGATTTAAACGTCCTACGGAAATAATAAATTTTTTATTAGTTCCCGTCCATAACTCACTCAAGACTTCCTGGTGCTTGTCTTACGAGTGCCTGTGAGCGGCGATACTCTAGGATTCAAATGTGGACCACTATTTTTTCAATCTATACTACTACCATTGAGTCATTCTTCACACAACGGTACCACCTACAGTTCGAGGGACATCTAAGTCGCTATTTTGAGTAGTGGGTTGGAGTGGGTGTTCTTGATTTACAACGTGAAACGCTGATTATAATCGGTCCACTAACATGACTTAGTTTGCGACGTTAGGTGGAAGGGGATTGATGTATTGAGATAGAATTTGCACAAGAACACCGGCCTTTTGATGGATTTTTACCCTGAAATTAAGAAAATTTAAAGGTATAATACTATTCAGAAGTGTCTTCCCGACAAATACTCGTCTTTATTGAAGTAAAGAAACGCAATGGATGTTTGCGATCATCGGGATATGCGTTATTTCTACATAATTCATTTTTCCTTACAGTTTCGGTTTAGTATCAAATTACATCCTTTTTAATGGACATATAAAATTGCATTTTTGAGCTGAGCGCAATAAAACCACGGGCGTGTAGATTGGTGAATGCGCATTTTTTTTAAATTGCGTGGGCTTTTTGTCATTCCGGATTGGTAGTAGTAAAAGACATTAACCAATAAAAAATTAGACATCGCCATTTTGGAAGGAAATTCGCCATTTATGGGCGTGGGAAACAATTCTAGTAGTTAAAGAGGGGGTCATTCAGCTGTGAAAAAAATAACAGATGAAGTCTCTCAACAATGGAGGACAGATCTCGAGTCATTTTATTAGAAAGGGAATTTGGATTTTCGGTGTGAAGTTTGAATGCGGAGTTGCAAACCTAAATATTTAAAGACTTCCTTCGAAGGGGTAAGTAAATGTGCTGGCCGAAAGTGATAAAAAACGGCGTTATATTCGTAGCGTACTAAATAATTCGTGGCAGATTGAATTAACTGTCATAAAGTGGCGAAATTGTAACTAAAAAGTTTGTTGTAGATACCACCCGCATACTTGCGCATGCGTCATTCTGCCCAAAATCTTTTCAGCTCTCCCTTTTTTATGTGTAACAAATTTGGTTCCAATCGGTCATCCGTTTAGTTGGGAATGAGAGTACAGACCGACCGACGGAATCTAGATTTTGTTTGATTCGGATTCATGGTGCTCTGAAACGTGTATTTTCATAAAAAAAGTGGTTGGTCATTTTTTACCCCAACGCAATACCTTCCTCACTAATGTGCGGGTGTTAAAAACGCAAAAAGTGTAAGGGAAAAGGTTTTGGTGGGAATTTTTCGTTGCTGGCCCCAGACCATTCCCCTTTCCATACCCTCCCAGAATGACTTTTTACAAACCGTTTAGACTTCAGCGCTCCTTTGCAGTTGTTGGGTAATGATTAGCAGATCCTTTTCTCCACGCTGCCAGAGAAGATTTAGATTTGATTTAGATTTAGATTTAGATTTAGATTTATTTATAATTCCTTTTGACAATTATCGATATTGTATAGGAAGCGTCAAGTATAGGTATATGACAAACAATTAATGAGACAATAAACTATGACAAACAATAGATACATAAAATAGACAATTCAACATACTACTTTTCATTACGAAATTTGAAATATTCGGCGATGGAGTAAAAACAATTTTCATTTAAGTAACTTTTAAGTTGACATTTAAATTGCTGCAGGTTACAAGAACTCTTTATATATTGCGGTAGAGTAATATATATTTGTGGACCCAGGAACGCAGGAGAGTGTTGCGATACTTTTAATGTCGCTTTCGGGAGATACAGGTTGTCTTTTGTCCTGGTGTTGTGGTTGTGTATATCCGATTTTAAGGTGTAATCGTTCTTGTTTGCGAAGACATAGATACTAAGTTCATATATTAGCATACTTGGTACTGTTAATATTTGAAAAGTTTTAAAAATTAGTCTACATGACGTTGTACAACTAACGCCAGCAATTTGTCTTACAATCTTTTTTGGGCAACTAATACCTTACTAGCGAACGATGAATGACCCCAATAACAAATTCCGTATCTCAAGCGTGAGGATATTTCGCTGTGATAGAGGTTTATTATTTGTGGTAGCGTTAGCACATGTTTCAGATTTTTAATTAGAAATATTGTAGAATGCAATTTACTAACTAATTCGGTACAGTGTGCTTTCCAGTTCAGGTGTTCGTCAATTGTTACCCCTAAAAACTTGACCTTGTTAGTTTGTAAGAGAGGCAAGTTATTAAGTGATAAGCTTAGCTGTTGTACGTGCTTTTTTGGATGATGAAATCTGACGACTTGGGTCTTGGCTACATTAAAGTACAAGTCATTGTGAGAAAACCAATTGGAGAGGCTTTGCAGAAGTTCGCAGCATTTATTTTCAAGGACCGTTTGTGACTTATCCGAGAGTTGGAGTGACGTATCGCCAGCATATGAGCATATAGGGTGAATTTAGCTGTAGAGTAGGCTCGCTCTATGTCATTGATGTAGAGTAGAAAGAGGACAGGACCCAAAATTGAGCCCTGGGGTACTCCCATATTCATACGGACATGGTTTGAGTTTATGTTACACTTTATTCCGTCTTTGTGATATTGCAAAGCGACGTATTGGATTCTTTCAGAAAGAAAAGAACGTAACCACCTCAAAGCCACGCCTCGTATACCGTACGTATCAAGTTTGTTGCAAAGGATCTCAATGTTTACACAATCGAAGGCTTTACTCAAGTCACAAAATATTGCAACTGGACACTCTCCTTTTTCGACATCTGAGATAACATTCTCGTAGAACTTCCAGATTGCAGAATTTGTTGATCTACATGATCGAAAACCATGTTGATTAGGTGTCAGGATATTATGCTTGATTATATAGTTATTTAGACGATTTAAATAACAATATTCAAAGATTTTGCAGAACCCGGATGATATAGTGATAGGTCTATAGTTATCCGGGGCGGTAGTGCTATTTTTTTTGTGAATGGGTAGTACCTTACCGACCTTCAATGCTTTCGGAAATTCTCCTTCTGAGAATGATAAGTTGATCAAGTACGCCAAGGGGCTAGCTATCTCGGGTAAAATTTCCTTTATAATAAATGTGGGGATGTCATCATAGCCGCTCGAGAGTTTGCTTTTTAGACAACGCTTTATTAATGGGAGGAGTTCGCCTTCTGTTACTGGATGAAGAAATAATGAGTGCGATTGTGTCGACACTTCGCTTTGTTGTTGTGGGGTATTACAGCGTTTCGCACGGTTACCTATTTGGTTTTTTATTGTGGCAGGAGCCAGTAAGAAGTGCCTATTAAGGTAATTGGCAGTTCTTAGAGGGCCATAGCATATGGATCCGTCGATGTGAATGTTAATATCTGCCCGACCGCTGTCTTTTCGTCTGAATTCTGAAATCACATTCCAGCACGTTTTTGTGGGGTTGTCACTTTCAAAAATTTTTCGTTGGTAGTATGATTTTTTGGTTTCTCTGACTAGAGTGACGTGTCTCTTTTTCGCCCTATTATATGAGGCAGAACGTACCACCGGTGGGTCTGGGGGTATGATGTACCCCCAACAACGAAAAACACCTACCAAAGACCTTTTTCCTATAAACTTATGTACTCTTACGATGGTGTTCTAGTCCTTAGAACGCAGTTAGGCAGACAAAGAGAGGAAGAACTGGTTAGAAGTGGTAGGAGAGTGTAATAGGAGAGGGAAAGGGAAGCGAAAAGAGAAGAGAAGAGTCGGAAAAGAGATGAGAAGAGTAATAATAATAATAATTATTATTATTATTATTAAAATGCAAGAGCAAAATTGTGCACAATCACCGTCGTCATTTTTCTAAAATATTTTTGGGCAACCAGTGACGTGCTGTATTCGAGTGGCGTGTAAAACTGTTATTTTTAATTGCCTTTTTCAGCTGTTGAACAATACATCCATTATTATTTTTTTTAATGGAAAACCCCTTACTTTATTGCAGATTTGGAAAGTACTTATTTTTTATGGAACATACTACCCCTAACTAACGATTTCAGAGAAACTAAATCGCGTCGGGAGTTAAGTTTTGAACACAGGCTAAGGCTTCTTCTACTTTCACATTTGGTCCTTTATGGTAAAAAGAAAATTTTTCATCAAATGCCATTTTTCTACACTTTCTACTGCTATTTAAAAAAATAAGATTTCCAGAAAGAAATATTCCGCGAATTGTCATTAAGAGATTCGGAACTCTTTCTGTGATGTATACGTTGTGGGGGGGGGGGGGGGTATTCCCCCCACATCTTCCGGTCTTAGGCTCGGTCTCAAATTATTAAACCTTCAGCATTGCAGTAATAATTTTTCAAGAATGCCCATCGAACTTTCTTCTTTTATATCCAACATTCTTCAAAAATTACCTGGTGCGGTGTTCTCCTCCAAAACTGACCTCTAGTCTAGAAAACGATCACTTGGATTAAAGAAAGCTGAATTCGGTCAGTTGAACGCCACGTTGATCTACTTTCCAATGTCACCTTCAGTAGCGGAATGAGCGACCTTTCATCAATAGTTACCTTTGAGCTTCACCTCTACCTACTTCCCAAAGTCACCGCCAGGTAGCGACCGACATAACCTTGAAAGCAAATTCCCTTCACCTACAAGGTCACAGCAACGTGGCAAGCGACGTTCACCTTGACCTAACTTCCAAGGTCACAACCACGTGGTAGATCACCTTGATCTACTTTCCAACGTCGCTGTCAGGTGGCTGTACTAAATTCGTTGAGAAAACTGTCAAATGCATTACCTTGACGCCCATGTAGTAACCGCCATGTATAATTTTAGTATGTATGTACTTTGATCATCAAAATCACATGCACAAATCATTCTTACAACTTTAACCCTGTGCTAGGTAGTGCAACCCTCCACAAATTTTTATATGAAGCGAGGGATCAATTCATCCATAACCTCAAAGCGGCGAAAGACGTAAAAGTTTCTTGAGAGAAATACCCCCAAAATCAAATTTGAACGCGTTGGTTCTGAATTAACTCTAATCTTACAGTATTGTTTTCGCGATGGTGCGTAAGCGGCAGTCTTGGATGAGAAAGAAAAGTGGCAATGATGCAGAAGGACGGAAACGTGATGTGACGGGAGCGCAGTTTGCCGTTTAAATATGGACAAATGTACTGTTTCATAGCGATAAACGTGCGCATTTGTAGAATGTGTGACTTTTACTAAGATAGCAGGGTCACGTCTGATTATCAGTGGTGCTCTTTTGCCAAGCTGAAAATGCATAGTAGGTAGATACAAATCGGGGTTCTCGGATTGGCGGAAAAAGAGGACGCGGTCCCGCAATTTGCGTTGGGTTCGTTTCGGCATTATATAAATAGAGCCAGGCAGTAGTCGTGTAAGTCGTCCGCTAAGTTTGTTAAGTTAATCAAAACGTTCAAGCGGGCTAGTATCAAAAATATTGTAGGTGAGCAAGACGCAGCCCGGAGTTCTAAAAATAAATAGAATGCATTGTCCTACACACATTGTTAATTTCGCATCGGAAAATACGCGATATCGTACTAGAATCGGTGCGCTTTCGGGAGGATGTAGTGTTTCATATTCACGCGGAATAAACATTATTTTACTTAGACTGCACGTGTTTCGATCGCGCTACAGTTTATAAATTCTTATCGCCAATTATCCATTATCAACCAAAAGCACCTTGTCATCAGAAAGCCATTTTAAATCCAGAAAGGAATTAGTTTCAATTTGGGCCGATAAGTGTCTATTTTCTGGCCCATTATTCATTCCTACTTCACATAACACGAATACGAAGATTGAATTTTAAGAGAGTCATAGTTACTCCTTGCCAGTGGAGGCCGATGCGACCGCAACGAATACGTAGGCTATGCTCAAAATTGGGACGGATCTTACAGCGCCGATCGGTGGGTGACTTCTGGGACAATCCCTCAGTGGAGTCGGGGACAATCTTCCCCCGACCTTCAATGGACATGCTACGCATTACTGGTGGCAAGCATCTTGGGAGTCTAATAGCTATCCAGTAGAGGGCACTTACTACTGTTTGGATCCGTTGTTGGTTACCGCGTTGATTGCCTCTTTCTCAGAGGCGTAATCAACGTGGCTGTTGAAGTTCAGTCGGTCACCCCCAGATACTACACTTGGTGTTTTCTGTTCGCTGCACCGATTTGCATATGCTGACCAATAACAGCTCAATTTTGTGGTGGGCTATCTGTATCTTCTCCCTGCATCCAGTTTTCAATCGTTACGACTGCCGTTGTACTTTCCATTCGAAGGCGCTAGGGCGAAAATGGAACCTTGCGGAACTCCCGCCGTGATGTCCGCCGTCTTCTGCCCCTCAGCGGTTTCGTGTATCAGCATCCGGTCCTGGAAGTAACTGCTCAATATTCTGCACAAAGATTCCGGGACTGGCATTCTCCGTTTTAGCTACCACGGTCCGGACCGTATCCACTGTCGACTTCATCATTTCATCGGCCTGTCGAGGATGATCCTCTCAAATTGCTTCCCCAGCGTATCCAGCAAGCATAGGGGCCTGTACGTTACTAACGGCGGCATTCCTGCCTTCTCTAGCAGTAGTAACTTGTGGATCTTCCATCTGATCGGATAGGGACCTCCTTCTAGGCATTTCTGCAACACTGTCCTGAATATGTCTGGAGACGCTAGAATCGACACTTTCAACACCACCTTCGGGATACCTTCTTCGCTACTCCCATGAGCTCTTAGTTGGAGAAGTGCAAATGGCCATGACACTGGATCGTTTGTAGGGAACAGTCCCTCCACCATGACCTCTCTTGTCAAGCTTGATCTTCCGCTTCAGTGCCGGCCTAGCCGCTTGGAACTCATTTCTGCGCATGTCTCGGTCTGCTGCGTCTCTTGCTCTCTGGACCCGCTTCCTGGCTCTGAGACATCTAGCTGGGAGGGTCTGAGATTCTCGTTCCACCAGTAAACTGACCGCCGCGTCGTTTATTTCTAGGCATCGTTGCATCACATGCCTGCACCAACGTTTCCGTTGTTAGCTCATCTAACGGTCGCTCCGCCTCCCCACCGCAGAACCTTAACAAGGAGGTCCGTGTCGAAATACGGCGTGTTCGACATTGTTTCGGAGGCTCCTGTTCTCCGTGCCGCTTCATGGTTCCGTGGACCTGTGCAGTAGCGGATCGTACCCCTCGCACACCCTCCAATTCATATTTGTCATCAGATCATTTGACACCTTCATTAGAAAGTGATACTTCCAGCTTGTTCAGAGCTTCTAACAGACTGTATCCTTTACCGTTTGTACATCTGCTACCCCTCCAACGCTCAGGCATTAAAATCTCCTGCGAAGACGACCGGTTTACGCCCAATAAGCTTCTCGTTAGTGCTTCCAACATCTGATGGAGCTACTCTAAGGGCCATCTTGGTGTTGCATAACAGTTGCATACGAAGATTCCGTTGATTTTTGCGATCACGAAACCCTCACCCGAACTGCAAACCACTTCCTCAGTCTGGAATTTGGTTAAAATCGGCTCAGTCGTTTCGAAGATACAGGGTGTTCTTTACGGAAACCTTTGAATACCCCCCACCACTTCATTTTTAGAGATACAGGAAAATTGTCAAACAAAAAATGTTCAGATTATCGTTGTCTTCAAAGACCGGACATTTTTTTGTTAGCTTAATATATCAGAATTCACAGAAAAATCACTTTTTTAGATTCCAGATTGCAGTTACGCCCCCTAGCGGCCATTTCAGAAACTTAATAGTATATTAAGTATGGAGAACGGTAAGGGATTTTTACCGTTCGAAGACAATTATTGTCTGAGAACGGTAACCCTTAACGTTCGACGTGCTTATAACATTTTTTGCGCGATCGAAATTAATATTATGCAACCAATATAAATATGAACTAAGAAATTAACGAGCAGAATAAATCGAAATGATCGAAGTGGTATGGTGTACATCACTAGGTAACCAGTTTATTTGTCAAAATTGAATTAATAATTTCATAAAAATGTGCATGTGTCTGATGTAGTTTACTAGCTTTGCACTTCCTTTATGACTTTATGAGCGTCTTGCTATAGGAAACAACAGCACAAATTGTACGTTTAATGTACCTAACAATAATTAAAGATTAAATGTAATGTAAGACTGTTGATTTTTAAAAAGGCGTCGGTAAGTATTTTTGCTGTTCTGTTTTTAGATCGGTAAGTAATTTTGGCGTCGTCGTAATCATAGCAACTGGTAAATTCTACGTACTGTCATGGAAACACCCATGGTAAATAGTCAGCAATGACCGATCGCGCAAAAAAATATTTTCCAGGTTTTTCTCGTGGCCGTTTTAGTAATACATTTTTTTACCGCAAGCCTCTACGATGGACAGGTTCCCAGATACAGTACCTCGCATTCTTATTTGGCCACCCTGTACAGTGTACAATCAAAAATAGTCACATGAAAATACTCGAGCGCGTCGATATTGATTGTGTATATGCCGCACGTGTCCCTGATATTGGAAGTTAATCTACCGGTTTGTATGGTGGGGGATTTATTCGAGCGCGTCCGATATTTAGAGCGCTTTACGTATAATGATGACACGACCGCCTATAATCGCAGTCAGTTGGCATTCTTCAACTGGTGCACGCGTTTGGCGTGTGGAAATCGGCAGATTAGATTAGTTTTGTTATTCTTGAATAATTTCCTTGGAAAAAGATCCAAAGCGCTCTAGAATGTCAACGTAACGTTTGTTTTGCAAGTGTGTGTCCTTCCCATTCTTTCATTTCACGCTCAAATCGTCAGATTATTGAAATGCACACTTATCAACACGTAGTCAACCCACCTTACTTTAATCTGAGGCGTATGAGTAAATCCCAAAATCACCTATTAGGCTCCCATAAATATTAGACATAAAAGGAAGAGCTGAAAAGATTTTGGGCAGAATCGTGCATGCGCAAATGTGTCAAAGTAACAAAAAAAACTGTCAATGTTTGACGTTTTTCCATATTATGGCAAAACTATTGCATCGTGCGGGTTTTTTTGTTTTTGGAGCAACAACATTTTATTTGCTTATTTTGCTGTAGACAAACTTACTTCATTAAAACCTTATATTAATTAAAAACACATTCGTTTTGAGTTTGTATTTGTCTAGCTTAAAATACAATTATGCCGATTACTTGAAATACTGACGGGAGGCGATATGTAAATTTTGTTAATTCCTTATCCTCTTGATTGTATGTACCCTGTAAACTGTTTTTTTTTAATCATTTCAGCGAAATTTTTTCCATTCACCTTCAAGAACTGTTTACACCAAAATAAATTTGTTATACGTTTACCTCTCTAATTAAACATTTGCATAATCTCATTAACATTGTTTAAATGGTAATCTCCTTTGCGTATTAACAGGTGCATTGTATGCGAAGCGTAACAGATAGCTACTCACAATGTGAGGTGCTTAAAAACTAGTTGACAAACGTAAACGTCACAAGGCACGCTACGCACCGCGCCCCGCGCCTTAGGTGTGTAACCTGCCTTATGCGGCGTCGAGCAACATTTACAAAAATATTGATTTTGCTCTCGCAATTGTCCCATTATTTTTAAAATAAAGATCTAAACTTAATGGTAATATCACATCGAGGACATCACATTGAAAAACTTAAATTGCTAAATAATACTAGTTATAGCACTATTTCTTCAGGTTGCCCTTTAACTAATGACTGTTTTATGAGACTAGATTTAGTTTTGAGTGTTGGTGTGTCGCCGTTCTCGTACTTCGACCATGAGAGGAGCAGTTGGTCTTCGGTCGCGTCATTTTCGATATCTTCGGGCACGTGATTCGAGTCTAGTGCCATGTAGATTTTGCCTGTCGACATATCGGAGGTATCCGACGATTCGCTGCTTCTGTTGCTCTCCCGCTCGGCCGATGACAGTAACGGCCTCATCGTCATCGTCTGGCAGTTCTCGTTGTCGCTATCCTCGTCTTGGTAATGTAGCTGTCGCCATCTTCTTTCGATTAGTGTGGTGGATGACGACAGTTTTTTGTTCAGGATTTCTTTGGCCGGTGATGGGGGAACGGACGTGGTCTTGTCGCTTTCTTCGGAAAAGGCGCGCGTTATGAGAATTCTGGGCGATCGTTTGGGGGTCGATTCCAAAACGGTTTTGATAACTGTCGCCTTTTTGTTGGAATGCTCTTGGTCGATCCTAAAGACTCTTTGGAGGAATAAGTTGGCGCTACTACGCGATGGTCGGGTTAGTCTGTCGATTGAACGTCTCTTGGTGATTCGTAAGACTTCCTCGTCGACTATCATGCAAACTTCTTCGATCTCATTGCGTGGTACTTGGAGAGTGTTGCAGCTGGCAGTGTGTGATATGTTCTTCCTGCAGTCTTCCTCGCTTGGTGACAGATTCAAACCGGGAGTCGAATTCGGTCGCCACGTCAACTCGGAGGAGATGCGCTTCATCTTTGGCTTCGTCGGGCTACCCATCACCTTGTGCAGGTCTAAGAATGCCTCGGAGAGCCTCCGCGTTAAGACCGGTTTCGAGAAAAATCCTAATGGAGTCAGCGACGGTCGACGTGATCCACACGTTGACGGCGTCCTCGCCTGAATTTCCTGGTTAACTTCGCTTTTCGTCAGCTTTTTACGCCAGTAATTTTGGAATGTTTTACGAAGGGTTTTGTTTTTGACACCGTAAAAGAAGCCGTTTATTGGAGGTGAACATATGAGCATTACCGAGGCGAATATCAAAACGCGTTGGTCGATTTTGATGGATGTAGTGGAATTTTTGAGTGTGGCCGTCGCTGCCTCCCACAAAATAATACTATAATAAGGAACGTAGATTAACAGAAAGGAACCGACTAATTGTAAGACGGTCGATATTGCACTTTTCCCTCGGAATTTCGGCCCACCCGCTGACGGTGCCGTTACTGTAGGCACGAAGAACGGGTTTCGTTGATGCGTTATTGTCACCTGTGCCGACAGTGTCACCTCGTAAATCGCCGATGCTATCCGATGTCTGTGATAGCGAGCAATCATTAATATCTGAAAGGAGGAAAAATTTAAAAAGTGCCGGATTAGGTGTTAGTTACCTTAAGATTGCAGCAGACGATGAGAGTAGCTGGCAGAAGAAGAGTAAATGCGGTGTAAAAAGCCGAATACCATAGCACACCGGGTCCCAGTGAGAAATCGGGTGCGCAAGCGCCCAACCCGCTGTTGTAGGCGTAGGGGCCCACTGTAAAAAATGGAGGAAGACTCAGCGCCAGTGTTACGGCCCAACCTGCACCCAAACCAACCAGAATCTGAAAAGAAAAATTAACATTGTAAGTTATCGGCACGATTGAAAGGTCACGGTGATGCCCGTGATAAACTGTAGCCTCCGTGGCGCAATTGGTTAGCGCGTTCGGCTGTTAACCGAAAGGTTGGTGGTTCAAGCCCACCCGGGGGCGATTATGTTTTACTACAGGAGTATACCGCTCCTGAGGCAGAACATTGTTCTTTTTTGGAAAGTTTTAGAAGAATATAGGGTGGTCAGTCAATTAGTTTAAACCATATTCTTATTTAAGAGACATAAATTTTGTAATTTTTCAAGTATACTCAATGAAACCTTCATTCTTTGTCTTCTGTTTCAGTCAGTCTTGGTGATCAAAAGTAGAAGTACACCTTCGGGATCTTTTGATGGCGAACCACCCTGTATTTCTTTACTGACAAGCACAGCCTCCGTGGCGCAATTGGCTAGCGCGTTCGGCTGTTAACCGAAAGGTTGGTGGTTCGAGCCCACCCGGGGGCGATTTTTTTTTCGCCCGATTATTCATTGGTGAAGGTTTTCGTATTGATCATCAACATCCTACTTTCGATACTGTTCAAGGGCAGATGGAAGCACATGCCAAATGTCAAACCTCAACTGGAAAATTTAGCGGGGTGCACCTTTTTACGAAACACCCAGTATTGGGTTGGGTTGTGAAGCCTCCGTGGCGCAATTGGTTAGCGCGTTCGGCTGTTAACCGAAAGGTTGGTGGTTCAAGCCCACCCGGGGGCGATCTTATTTTACAGTTCTGCGTCTGTCATTTGCGTAATCATAATATACAGGATGTTACCATATCACAGGTTGACTTTGGTACTTGATTTCCAGGATCTGGAGATGTGTGCTTCTGGTGCCATTGATTTTGGAGAATACATTGAGGAGTATCGTAATTAATTATTATTATTAATATCCCCTGTCACTTCTACACAACTGTTGTACTCAATCTTTATATATAATATTCTTCTGTATGTACGTGTGTTTGTGATTGAACTCCGCCTAAACGGCTGGACGGATTTCGATGAAATTTTTTTATGTGCCTTTGTGTTTTCGGATGGTTTAGATCAGTGTTTCTCAAACTTTTTTGTCTGGCGGCACACTAAAATTATTAACCAAAATTCGCGGCACTCCTAGTATTATTTTTTTGCTTTTTTACAGTTAGTAAAGAGATGAAGGTTGAGCAGTCTTTACAAAAAAAAATTCTAAACACAAATGCATTTAAAACTAGTTGTCAGGTAAACTCCTGACTTAACTTTCCGACTACTTTTAATAGTCATATTGCAATTATGTGTGGCCATAGTATAACATTTAGAAAATGCCCTCTAGCGCCTTTATTTTGAACCCGACCCAAAAAAGTGTAGAAGCCTTTTTGTAGACCTCATCACGACACTTATTTTTTGTAATTGACATTTTTCACTATGATGCTTACTTTTAGAGAAAAATGATATTTAGAAAAATAAAATAAATAGTTTAACTTTTCAATTCAAAACTTCTCAAAAACAAAGAGACTCACAAAGAGTTTTTTAAGCCATTTTGGCCAGTGTATGCCAAAAAAATTTTAAAAAATTTTTTCAAGCCATTATGACTCTTAAACTTTTGACACCCTCAACAACCTTGAAGATGGTTACGGATCAAAACCAAAATAGTACGTTTTCGATTCCCCATACCACCCTATATGCACCCCAAATATAAGATACGATTGAGAAAGTCTGATGTAATGCAGTACCAGCATATAATTGATTAATGAATTATGAACCATAGAAATAAATAAAATAGAAACTAAAAAACAGAACTGTAATTTAAAAAAATGTTTTTTTAATTTATGTAATTTTAAGCTTATTAACCGGCGCCCACTTTGAGAACCACTGGTTTAGATTGACAATTGCGCCCGATCGGATTATAGGATTTTTTTAAAATTATTTTTCTGATACAGTGCATTTGTTGGAAAATATCAGAAGAATTCGAGATATAGGGTTTTCAGCAAGTATTTTTTAAATACTCAATGAAAGACTTTTGACGAACTGAGGAGTTTCAGTGAATCTTGGTGACCAAAAGTAGAAATATACCTTCGTGCTTTAAGTGGACTTTTGATGGCGAACCACCCTGTATTTCTTTATTGAGAAGCACAGCCTCCGTGGCGCAATTGGCTAGCGCGTTCGGCTGTTAACCGAAAGGTTGGTGGTTCGAGCCCACCCGGGGGCGAAATTTTTTTGCGCGACAGTTTTGACCATTATATTGATTGGTGAGGGTTTTCGCTTTTTTTATGGTCTGGTCCCACCCAACCTTTCGATTTTCAAAGGGAATTTTTGCTTGGCTGGTTTTTTCTCATACACTGCTTTGGTTAGGTATAATTTTTCGTATACACGCGACATTTTATGCGAAGCGTGTTTTTATTTTCAAAATAGAACCATATAGTCTATTCCTTCACCTAGGATTTGAAGAATCGATAGAACCCAAAGGGAATAGTTAAAGAACTGTAAGGGGAATCCCCAGCAAATGACAAATTCAAAGAGTTTGTAGAATCTGAAAAATCGGACAATTCGAAGCATGATGAATTCTGAAGATTTTTAATAATATAAAACATTGGAAGAAGTCGAAGAATCTTCAGAACCTCAAAAATTCAAAAATCAAAGAACCTGAGGAATCAAAAAATTGAAAAAGGTGCCGAATCTGTCACGTACGAATCGGAACAATCTGAAGAAATCATAAACTTAAAAAAATTAAAAAAAGGTTTCGAAGAATGTGAAGAACCTAAAGGATCAGAAATAATCAATCAATAATCATAGATCAGAAGCGCTCGAGTCGGAAAAACCCGACAAATTTGAAAAATCGAAATTCGAAAATTTCCAAAAACCTGGAGGGCCTGAAAAATTGGAAAAACTTAATCTTAAATATTCACCCTGAACAACCTCAGAAATCAAAATAATTGAAAACATTGACTAATCTGTAACATAAGAAATAAATAGAAATAAAAAAATCTGGATCTGAAGATACTGAAAAATTCGGAACAAGTAGGAAAATTAATGTCAGAAAAGGCAGAAATGGAAGAGCTCAAAGTGCCTAAGAATTGACGGATCTAAAACATAATCATGGGATGCATCCGATGAAATGAAAAATGTTCAACATTGAAAATGTAAGTAAAGACACGAAGGAATCTAAAAAACAAGAAGAAACTAAAGGATCCGGAATAGTTGCCTTGAATTCGAAGCGTCCCAAGCAATGGCCGAATAATCCAAAGGAACCAAAATATCTCAAATTTGAATGATCCCGCGAATTTGAAGAATCATCTTTAAATCCTGGAGGACCTGAAGAATGAAAGAATTGAACAAATTGACGGATTTTAACACAAGAATGGGAAGAATCCAAACAAATGAAAGATTTTAAAAAATCCTGAAAGGTTATGAAAGTTTTAAAGAACCAACAGAATCCGAAGGATAGGAAGAACGTAGGAAATCGAACTATGTCATCCAAATCCGAAGTGTCCACAGAAGGATACAAACAATTCGACGAATCTGAATACAGGAAAATTCGAAGAAAAGCAGCTGACTGGGCAGGACCATAAGACTCTTCAGAGAGAATTTGGAAAAGCGGAAAAATCCGAAGAAAGGAAGAATAATTAAATTAATCTAAAAGTTCTGAAGGATTTTGAAAATCTGAAGAAGTTTGAAGAATTTGAAAATCTCAAGGACCTTAAGTTTTTTAAAGTAACAATTTTGAATTTCATGAAATCCTATGAGAAACCAAAGAAATCTCGAGTCTGAGAAAAAGTTGATAAATTTGGGATACTTGAAGAAATTGACTACTGGGGAAAACTTAAAGCATGGAATTAAACCGAAAAAAGACGACACAATTCATATCATTAATTTTAATAACTAATAAATGATAACTTTTCAATGCACTGTTTCTGTATGGGTTATCAACGCCTCCGTGGCGCAATTGGCTAGCGCGTTCGGCTGTTAACCGAAAGGTTGGTGGTTCGAGCCCACCCGGGGGCGCTTTTTTATGGTCTGCGTGATTCCAAAATACATACTCCACTTGTAAGGTTGTCTGGTTTCACCCGACCTTTCAAGTCATTTGTCAGGCAAGTAATGGTTGCTTCGTGTAAACGGAACCTGTCCCACAAATGATATAAGTTGCTTGTTACTTTTGGGACAGCAGGTTACCTGAAGCACGTTATCTGTCTAACAAGTAGCATCGTGTAAACGAGCCTTTAAATCCCAAGGAGAATAATGGAAAGGGCTCATTTTCATAGAGCCCTCTACCGCCCATCCATCCACAGATTTCGATAAAGAGCAAGGGGGAATTATGTCATAAATACGGAACGTGTAAAAATCTAAAGAGATCTCCAATCTAAGAAATTCGACAGAAGTGCGAAGAATTAGAACATTAAATCCTTCTAGTTTTCAGGGTTACTTAATTTAATTTAGTACGTTTAAAACTTCCGCTATTGTTCGTATCTACCGTAATAGTTTCCAATTCGCAAATTATCCTTTAAAAGTTTGTCCGTATTCGCAGCAGTATTTCTTCGCGAATTGTCCATTAATTGCTGAAAAGAATCTGACTCACCAGCGATTTTAATTTTACGGGTACCTCTCCGAAAAAACGATTAATGCCCTAACCTATAAAACCACCCTGCGCTAATGCACAGGTGCCTGACCCAACGTCGCTCACGGTTCAATGCGCATTGTCTGACGGTTCTCCCAGAACAGCCAACTTCCCACTTACATGTTTTTATTGACATCCATCTCGTGAATATAACAACGCAAAATAAACAAAATCTTTCCTGTAATCTGAACCAATCACGCCACAGCCCGCGATTCATTGGCGCCTTCAATTTTCAAACGCATTTAAAAAGTCAGGATCGTATTTAAGGACCAGTCGCCCACAAACTGGCAGTAAATAATTTTGTTTGGAAAGAAGAAAATGATTAAAGTTTGTAAGGTAACTATCTCTTAAAATATGACGAGAGGGCTAACCATTGATTCTTGGCCACTATTGGCA